GTGTACAGGATTTACCCCTTGGTCAAGCTCTCAAGTCACGATTTGTTCTCCTTTTTCTTCAAATCCTCATCTTTGCTCTTTTTTTTGTCCTAAATCCATAGACATATGTACTTCTCAACGATTTGGCGTCAAAGAGCAAAAGTCTGACGATTTTTTGACGAAATTCCAAAAAGTTCTTGTTCTCGAGTGGAGGAATTGGTCAGAAAAAAAGTCGAACACGCTCATCCAATTATAATGTTTCTTTTTGCATTGAGGAAGTATTGGAAGAGTCACTCGTCTTTTTTCCCTTTTGAAAATTACCGTAATCTTGGGTCTAGTTTTTTCAGGAATTCTGTCATTTTCAGAATTTCGCTTTGTTAAATTCGGTTCCATTAACACATTCGACATTTTGAGCGTACGGTCGTTACTGTTTTACTAACAATTTTGTGTAAATTCAAAGATAAATTAAACTATCATAGTCATTCGATAGCCCTGAATCTCCTCTTGAAAACCAGTACATTTTTTACAACAAATAATAATTATTTATTATTTATTTTTTATAAAAAATAGTACAAAATTACCAAGAACTTTCTGAGAAATCAATAACAAAGTCCTTAAAAACGAGTTGACACTAAAAATAATCGTCATTAGTACAGCCCAGCGGGTCGTATTGTCGGTCGTGTTTTTGGGGGTGTTTTTGGGGGTGTTGTGGGTGGGTTGTTGGGGGGGTTGTTGGGGGGGTTGGTGGGGGTGTTTGTGGGTCGTATTGTGTTAAAGCTAGCAAATATTGTTTTTCGTTCAACCGATGACCTCATTTCTTCCCCATGCCACTTTTTAGCAACCTTGACCATTAAAGCACAAGGTAGAAACAGAAAAACATCGAAAGTACACGAGAAAAGGGAATGAGTGAACCCTTGTACATCAAAATTTCTAACCACCAAAGAGCATTTTGAAGAGAAGAAAAATGGGAAAGGGTTACCGGGAATGAAAACGAGTGTTTTGCACGTTTCTTGGGAAATCAGCATCGAAAAATAGTTTATTAGATTAGATTTTTGAGACTATCAATCCTTTGAGATGTACTAAGCTTTCTACCTAGAGCTGCCAGCTTTCTACCTAGAGTATGTTAAAGCTTAGTTAAAGCTATTATTTTACCAATTTATTTATTAAATATAACAACCAATTAAAAACATTTCAATCGTTAAAAAGAACTATCCTCGATTTCATTACCGTTAGAGACTTCAATCGTAAGACTTCAATCGAGATGTCACTCTTTTAGTCCTTGTTTTCTTCATCTTCACCAAGATCGACTTCATCAAACAATTCGGCAATCATCTCTGGCTTGAAGTAACTTAGAAGCACCTTCGGGAATGCCTAAAATAAAACACATTAATGCATTAAAGCACTGAATTTAGCTTGAAGCAAGAAATTTCGCAACTTCGGATCCATCAGTAGCAATTGCATTCCGCAAACTTTGAATGATTTGACGAAGAGATCCTTGTCCAAACTTTCCCAAGCATCAGTGATCCACTGCAAGTAGGTGCCCATGAATGGAGCTTTCACATTTCCTCCTTTTGTGTGCTGTAAGCTTTGTAAGCTTGAACATCGTGCAACATCCAATCATCGTAGTAGGTCCGGATTTTCGCCTTGAAAGGATGGTTCCAAATTACTTCTTGCTCGCATCGATCTTTGAAATCTTCTTTGCACACCCGATTGCCTCCAGCTTGAAATTGTTCGTTAAGCTTTTCGCTTTTTCCCTTCTCGAATATCTCCAGAGCATCCAAATCGCTCTTATTGCTATCCGGAGCTTCATTTTCCATGTGATCGGCGAGTTCGCGAAGACTTCGATACTTCTCAAGTGAATCCGTTCGAATCGACAACCGGTTAGGCATCATCCCTAAAAAAACACGTTATTCATTTTATAAAACGCAAGAAAATCCAAGAAAAGCCACTGATTAAGCAATAATAAACCTTAGCAATGATTTTTAGGCAAAAATCTAAGGAAGGATTAACAATAACCAAAAAGATTCTTTGCTAAAGGATTGGATACTAAAATTTAAAATGTCAAAATGTTTAAAGTTGTGAGAATTTTATGGTATAAATTATCTTAAGCTCGACGGTATTTAATTACCTGATTATCTAAATTTTAAGTTATAAATTCGATCCAAAAGTTGGCTAATTGCGAGAAAAGCATCAAAATTTCCACTACTTTTGGGGTAGGCTAATTTCCACAATTTTTTTTTTTGGGCAACTCGCCATAACTTTCTTCTAACCAATGGACCAATCTTTATGATTTTGGTTTAATTTTGTAGTTCTCAATAAGTGCAACAAAATGAAACCCAAATCATAAAGATTAGTCCACTTAGAAGAAAGTTATGGGGAGTTGCGCAAACGACCCAGTTGCGCAAATGACCCTGTTGCACAAAAAAAAATTGCGGAAATTAGCCTACCCCCTAATTTTGCAAAAAAAATTATAAAGAAGGGGGGAGTGGGACAAATGCGACCTTTTTTTTGCGCACCCGGACATTTGCGCACCTTTTTTTCCGCACCTTTTTTCGCGTTTTAAAAAAGCTCTAAAAAGCTAATATTAACCAATTTCTATTCCAAAAGTTGTTTTTCTAGGTAATTTTAGGGCGTAGAATCGAAATTTTGACATAACAGAGCGTGTGGAATCAATTTGAAAGACAAAACGGGTAGGTCAAATTACAGAAAATGGTCGATTTTTCTCTTTGTATAACTCCGTCCGTTCGTTTCCACAAGCTCTGATATGTCAAAATTTCGATTCGACACCCTCAAATTACCTAGAAAAACAACATTTGGAATAGAAATTGGTTAATATTAGCTTTTTAGAGCTTTTTTAAAACGCGAAGAAAGGTGCGCTAATGGGCAAGGTGCGGAAAAAAAGGTGCGCAAATGTCCGGGTGCCAAAAAAAGGTCGCATTTGTCCCACTCCCAAGAAGGGAATTTTCCTCAAGGAAATTCGTTGATATATGCTTTAAGGCTCAAAATTTAAGGTATTCTGTCTACTAAGCTGAATATCCATAATTGTTGCTTTTATTGGAGGCTGCGCTTCTATTTTTCAATCATTCCACAAAATTGCTTCTATCAGAACAAATACGGTATATGAGGTTTCTTTTTCTTTTTTTTTTTGAAAACTTTTTAACGTTTTCTACAACTAACTTTATCAGGAATCGGATTTTCGATGGATTTTAAATACAAATTAGTTTTTAAAGAAAATTTCCCTTCAAATTCAGTATCGCAAATTTAAAGCGTTAAAATTTCAAAATTTTTCTGATCGATCCTGAACTGTACTCGCATACTAAATTGAACCCAAAAGCATACTAAATTACGGTACTTTTGCATCTTTATTCTTCAACAAATCTATATGCAAATTTGTCTGGAATAAAAGGTGCAAAAGTACTAAAAGGACAAAGTGACAGATTCTCTTTCCATCTTTCCAAAAAACTGTCTGATATGTTCGAAAGGGTAAAAACCCAAATCTCCCATCAGACTGTCGATTTCCTGTTCCTGTTTCTTTCGCAAGAATTCACAAAGAAATCCTCTCTATCCTGCCATATACACCCGAGAAAGGAGGAGAGTCTCTGTTTATGGCAAGTTTTGACAAAAAAGAACCGAATTTAGTGAGAAAGAGGGAGAAACAGGCAGAACTCCTCCTCCTTTCCTTTCTCTTTTTGAGTTCCCCCTTTTCCCGTTGAACAAACGGCTCATCCATCGAATTCGTTCATCGAATTGTACCCCAAACGATAATTTCATTAGTCTTCTTTTTCTTTTTACTTCTTTTCTTTCGATGAAAGATTTAAAAAGACAACATCTTTATGGCGCCTCTCGGGCCCGCTTACCACTCAACTTTCCAACGGTAGAGTAAACCCTGATTCACAATTGACTCTTGACTTGATTAGATTTGAATCCAGACTTCAATAGCATATTTTATATATGTGGTAGCCGATTATGAATGAAATTGTTTTGGCAAATCTTTCTAGTAGAGCAACCCTTTAATGTATGAGGACAATATTATATCATCTTGTAGCGAATTCAATTCTGCGTCGATTGGTACCAAATTTGTGAGTTTAGGCGCTTAAAAATTGCCAGCGCTACAACGTTTCATTCAAAATCGGCGGGACCCCCGTAGCCGATGATGAATTTCAGCCGATTATGAATGAGTGGGTCTAGGAGCGTCCAACCATCAAGTATTTAGTATCATTCAACGCAGAATCATTGATAATTATGTTAAATTAGCAAGATTTGATAAAAAAGAAAAAAAATTAGAGCAAAAAACTGTTTGTCCAAGAGAAAACTTTGAAGCTTCATAATCTTTTTTCTTTTCATCCAATCTTTCTAATTTAAAAAATTTAACATAATTATCAATGATTCTGCGTTGAATGATACCAAATACTTGATGGTTGGACGCGTCCGGACCCACTCATTCATAATCGGCTGAAATTCATAATCAGCTACGACATATGTATGTTGTGTCCGATTTAGATTGAATCTAAATCGGACACAACATATTCATCAAAATATCACTTCTTTCAAAGGTCATTTTTTTAAACGAAAATCTTTCAGCTTTCCATCTTCTTGACGTCGATTCTTCTTTTTTCATTTTTTATCTATCAATTCTGCAAACATCCCGAAGTTAGGTCGGTTTTTTTAGATGAATTCCAAAAAATTACATTATTTTAACAGTTTAGAATTCGATTCGACAAGAATCGAGCCCGATTTGTGAGTGTCGATGACGAGGAACTCTATCATGCAGGTAGACTTGCTCTTTGTGTGTCAAATAAACACTTTCTGGTGCACTCGATTCTTTCGTTTCTTAGTGGCATCAATTTTTCAGTGAACTTTTGGAACCAATCACTGAACACGTGCAAATGGCCGATTTTAAATCCGCACGAGCCCGAGATTTTGCCCCTATGTCAACTATTTTAGGTATGGAATATTAGTACGCAAAATTTTTGAGGTTAATTGATTATTTCCTTTCCAGAACACTCCATTGTACCCCAGAAATGCCTTCATTGGCCTCATTATTGGATAATGGATATCTTCTCATCACGACATCTCCCGATCTCTTTGAGAGGCAGCAAGTCCCGGCTTTGAGGTATATGCTTTTAAGTATTTTAAATATTAAAAATTTTAAGTACTTAAGCATTTAAGTTTTTAAGTTTTAAGTATGATTTTCAACAATTCATAATTAGAACTTTTCATTTGTCCGTCTGATTGAATCGGTTCATTTGTCCGTCTGATTGTCATAGGTGTAAATGGTAAAACGAGGATTTGAACACTTCTATTTTTCTCAGAGATTTTTAAATCAAAAGATTGACCTTAGAAATTCTACCTTTATTTAGTAAGAAATTCTGATATATTCAAATTGTTAGATATCTGAAAAAAACTGGTATTTTTAGATGCACAGTGGCACCGTTGAGCGGTGGATTGACGCCAGAGATCACCAAGTACGAGATGGAAGAAGAAAAAGAGGTGAATGAAATATTGAATTCAGGTTCTCTAGCTTTCTAAAGCGTGTCTATTTTTGAAAACTACCGTAATCCTCTTTCGAATCCACATAATCCGCTTTTCGTTTACAAAGAGGACCCTGCTGAGGACAAAGAGGATCCTGCTTACAAAGAGAAGTGTAGATAGATTCGAGTTTTTTTTATTGGCATAGCTAGACTACCGTAATCTTGTCTGTGATTTTGGTATCTTTTGTGAATCTTCACAGGTATAGATTGGATAAAACTATGGGTAAGTTTACGGTAATTTTCAAAAATTGATGTGTTTTAGAAACCACAGTATTCGGATAGATTTCTATTACAGTTTCTTATCACTTTAATTTAAGGATAAAAAGTCAAAGTCAAAGCCAACAAAGAATGACTTTCAATTGGCTTTGCTAAAAATTTGTTTCCTTTTTCAACCTTGATCACAATTTCCAGGTACCTATCAACAAAGCGCACTACGTGGGAAACGATCAGTTCGTCGTGCGTTGCTACAATGAAACGGTTAGAGTCGAATTATTATAAAGCCTGTAGCTTATCCACAAAAATCTTTATCCTACTGTAGCTTATCCACAAAATAAAAGACTATTTCCTTTAGTTGTACGCTTTCGTTGACGGGAAACCGCTGAAAGACGGCCTCTCATTTACGAGCGAAATTTCGTCAACTTTGCCGGCTTATTTGACAAGGTAACTGAATAACTGAAGTCTTTTTTTTAAAGATTTTGCTAATTTGCTAATTTAGATAAAGCCACCAAAATCGTTACCCACCGGCTCCATTCTACCGTTTGGTGACGCGGACTCGGCATGTTCTTAGCTGAAAACTTATTTAACACGTTGACGACATTGTCACCTGATGCTGTCTGACACATATTCGTTCGCCTGGGACATTGTCACCTGATGTCAGGTGACAGTACCAAAATTTGATTTTTTTGTGCATATTTATGTTTGCTGATGATGGATATTAAATAAGCAAGTAGGGGGGTCTATCCCAAAACAGCGCCGCCAAAATAGCGCCGACCAAAACAACGAAAACCCCAAAAAGAACGCCAATGAAAAACGCCCAAAACAGCGCCGATGCAAAACAAAGTTTTTTTCTTTTACAATGTACACTCATTTTTTTTTATTAGCAGCTTTCATTTTTGATAATTTATTTAAAAATAACATGACCAACAACAATAAACGATAACAATTAAACGATGCATAAAAAACATTAAAATAGCATGAAATTAATAGTCCAAGAGACTCTGAAACATCATAACACTAGCGATGATGAACATAAACGGCTAGAGCTTTCAAGTGATCCGTAGTAGAAATAAAAAGTTAGTGAAAACGTTAAAAAACAGGCCGTAAAAGGAAAAAAATTGTTATTTTTGGTTAAAATCAATTTTATAAACGCTATCGCAGGTTTCTATGCGTAAAGCTTAAAAAAAATCGGATTCTCCGCCTTTTTTTACCCTAAAAACACAAAAAGTGGACAGAAAAAGTTAAAAACATCAAAGAAAAAGCAAAAGCAAAAATCTAAAAAATAATTTTTTTTGCTCGTCGCTGTTTTGGGCGTTTTTGCATTGGCGCTGTTTTGGGTGGCGCTGTTTTGGTCGGCGCTGTTTTGGCGGCGCTGTTTTGGGATAGACCCAAGTAGGGTAGTATCTATATTCGACTTGGTCCCGGAAAATGTCGATTTAACCGTTGATTATTAAAATTTTAATTTTTTATAACATAATAGATATATGTTAGGTGTCAGGTGACATTTTTTGTCGAAAAAAAAACAACGTTGTCCCATGCGATTGTTTGTGCAAAAACGCCATTGTCGTCAACGTGTTAACCTTTAGATTTTATTCAACATATTCAAGATTGATAATAAAAGATATTCAGCTAAACCCATCGATCGTTATCCTCGTCCTTGAGTCGACCTCGTTGAATCAATTCCGAAGACATGCACCCGAGACTCTGGCATTTCTACAGGAGCACGACTTTGTCACAATGAACATGTACAATAAGGTGAATTTACCCTACATAATATACAAAGACAGATAAAAAATAAAAGATATTCAGTTCCAATTGAATACAATTGGAAAGCAAAACAAGCAAAACAAGCAAAACAAAGCCAAAATCAAACACACAAGCCGATCCTTTTGACCGAGAGAGAGGCTTTCTTTGTGCGGGCGTAATCGCTCACGATCTGGCGCACCGTCGGGATAGATAGGGACGGCCAGAGATCGATGCCGAATGCTTTAAAAAATTCGAATTAAAAAAGTCGGATTTTTTAATATGGCATTGACGATAACTTGGATCTGAAATGTTTACAAGATCTAAACATAAACTACACTTTTACAGTATCTTTTTACACAACAATACACAATGTATCATTCAGTCAGAATCAATTTTTAGATAGCCGACAACTCGGCCGTGAATCTTTTCCCAATATTGACCGGCCGGCCGATTCAAATGGGTTTGTGAAAGAGGATTTTAAGTGTTTGTTAAATATCTTTGGCTGCAACTTGCAAGTATGGCTGCTATTTTCACAATTGAAACACTTTCAAGTCACAAAACAATCACAAAGTGTTTTGTAAACAAAAATGCATCACAGATCCGGACAATCCCGATCCAGAGGACACCTTTGTCGACCTCGAGAATGTCACCTTTCTGTGGGATTTGATGAAAAGTTGGTTTTCAATCATAGATTCCTTAAAAATTAGCCGATTCAGGAAGAGGCTGTGTCACAATGATGAACGATGATATTGCTGATGTTCGACGGGGGCTTTTCCATTATCCGAATCACACTTTTACGGTAGCAGATGCCAAAGATTAACACAATTCAAACAATCTGCGTATTTATTCTAATTCTAATAGACTCAAATAGCGCATGGGCTTCTATTAGAGGTCCCCTTAGGCCCCGCCCACTCACGTCAGGAGAAAAAGTTGCACAAAAAAACATTTTAATTTTTAACCTGACTATTTGGTGTCAAAAGAAAAAGAATTTTGCACTCTATTATTTGATATAAATAAATACCGTAAATACTATAATAGTACCCCACCCCCTCGTACAGTCGCGTAGTCGCAAAAGTTTTTTAGTATTTCATTTTTTTCAAAGCGTCCGTACTTTCAAAAAATACGTCCTTAGTATCAAAAAATGGCTGAAACTCAGGACTATTTTTTGATACCTAAGCGCGCATTGTAGCATAAACCAGTGTTGAGAAAAACACGTTCAAAGCTAGACTACGCAACACCCCACACCGTCATTATGGGGGTGGGGTACTATTACAGTCATCACGGCATATAATCTTTTGACACCAAATTTATGGCAATAGGTTAAATTCATATTAAATTAAATTTTTTGTGCAACTTTTTCTCCTGAGGTGAGTGGGCGGGGCTTAAGGGGGCCTTCTAATCGAAGCTGATCAAACCCCGCCCACTCATCTCAGAGACAAAAAGTTGCACCAAATTGCGGGTTTTTAAATAAAATTTCTGAAACTTTATCAGAATTTGCACATTCCATTAGGCGTATCTATAGAAAGCAAACAAATTTGATTTGCTTTACTCATTGCTGAGAAAATTTTAAAACTTTGAAAATAAATGATGCGTAAATTTTTTTAAAACTTTTTGACTTTTCTTAGCAATGAATAAAGCAAATCCAATTTTTTTTATTTCTATAGGTGCGCCTATGGAATGTGCAAATTCTGACAAAGTTTCAGAAATTTTAGTTAAAAACCCGCAATTTGGTGCAACTTTTTGTCTCTGAGATGAGTGGGCGGGGTTTGATCAGCTTCTATTAGAGGCAATACGGTAAATCCGGTAGTGTTGTTTTTTTTTGGTGTGTACCTCAATCTCTACCGTAAACTGTTGAAAATTGCTTTCTCAGGGTTTCCCCGTTTCACCCACCGATTTCTACCTTCGCCCAACTCATCTTTTCAACACGAAACATCGGATCTCCTCCGGGAAAACTTGCCTCAATGATGGAACGGTAGGAAATAAAAATTATTCAACGCATAACTCTATTTTAAATTACTTACCGTATTTATTCTAATAGAAGCTCATTCGCTTCTATTAGAGGTCCCCTTAAGCCCCGCCCACTCACGTCAGGAGAAAAAGTTGCACGAAAAATTTAATTTTTAATCTATGGCCATAAGTTTGGTGTCAAAAGAAAGAGAATTCTGCACTCTATTATTTGACACCAAACTTATGGCCATAGATTAAAAATTAAATTTTTCGTGCAACTTTTTCTCCTGACGAGTGGGCGGGGCTTAAGGGGACCTCTAATAGAAGCGAATGAGCTTCTACTAGAATAAATACGATAATTGGATTACAAATACGGATAGCTCTATTTTGACCTACCGTAAATACTGTAATTGAACGGCACCCGTTCCGTCGCGTAGTCTAACTTCTTTTTAGAAAAGAAATTTTTTCTCAGACCCTAGATTTTTCTCAACTACACTTTTGCTACCAAAATATACTGGATTTCAAGGGCTATCATTTGACATTCAAGCGCACACTGTAGCATAAAGCAGCGCGGAGAACGGAACGTGTAAAGTTAGACTACGCGGCAATACCCCGTCATTATAGAGGTGCCGTTCTATTAGAGTATTTACGATAGCTACAGTTTTAAAGTTTTAAGAGTTGAAAGATTGGATCAAAATCTTGCTTTCCAGAGTCTTGCTGCTGAGTACCTCTCCTACATGCGCCATTTCTCGTCAGCTTTCAAAGATGCTTGTCATTTTTCGTTTAAGTAAGAAATGATTAGATGTATCTATTTTAATTATATCTATAATTGGATATAACTTATCTATTTTCTAAGAATTGAAATTGTTCATGTAAAACATTCTAGTTTCATCACGTCACTCACCCACGACGATCCGTCGATGCTGGGGACGATCGATCAGGAGCTGAAGTAAAACTATTAGATATCTAACTATAAAATGCAATATAATACATGAATTTCAATTTCTCAAGCTTAATTGATATCAACTTTATTCTCTAGACGAGCACTGGAAAGCCTCTTCGCGCAGGATATCGAGAAATCGACGACTTTTGTAATCATGGGAGATCATGGGAATCGAATACATCAGATACAAGTATGCCAAAAAAAATTGGATAAACTTTGAGATTTCTAATTTGATTACTAATTTGATTTACAATTACTTTTTACAAGTCCACTATAGCCAAGTGAAAACTTGAGACTTTACTCGATAGTTATCAAAAATTACAATTTTTTCGAAAATTTAAAAGACTTTTCTTTTTACAATATCTTTTAGGCTATTTGTGCCTGTATTCTTTAAATATTATAGAAATTTTGGCATAAAATTCTGGAACAAAAATCGTTCTAGAGAACGACAACGGGTCGAGTGGAAGAACGATCACCCCTTTTCTCGATTCGTTTACCCGACGAGTGGAAAAGAAAAAACGCGAAAGCGCACAAAAATTTGCGAACAAATGCCAATCGGTTGGTGAGATTTCTAAAAATTAAATCGACAACCCTCCAGCCTTGTCACCAATTTCGATCTCCACAAAACTTTGCGACACTTGGCACTCTCCGGGCGGGAAGATCTTGAGCCACGTGGGTTTACTACAAATGTAGTAATAGAATTGATGAAAGATCTAATATTATTCATACCTAATAAACTAGTAAATCTGGGAATAGACCGATCAGTATTATCACATTGTTAGAATCTGATACAAATTCTTCAAAAAGATTGGCAAAATCAATGTAGCACTTGGAAGGCAACAATTTGAGCGCAACTATTCTTTTTATATATTATTTCCCATCCAAATTATATGATTTTTAGCTAAATACGGTGTGAATCTTTTCTCTCAAATGCTCAATTCGACTCGTGGATGTGAAGAAGCGGAAATCCCTGAGAATTTCTGTCTTTGCATGGAACAACAAGAAAATAAATCGCTTCGATTGACAAAGTTTGTATAAAAACTAAAGAAAAGGCCTTGAAGATATTGTAAATATCGTTTCTTTTCCAATATCGGGGGAGCGGTTCGATTATCGGGGGAGCGAAAGGGAAATAGCTCCCCCGATATTGGAAAAGTACCTAAATATCACTTGTTATACTTTTATTTTTCAATTTTATCTTTTCTTTTGCTACAATCTTTTGGTGATTGCAAAATAGTCAATCAAACAAAAACTTGCATGTTCTTTGTGCTCAAAAATGAAAACATTGCCCTCAAATACTCACTTTTTTCTTGGCTGCAACAAGTTTGTGTTTACAAAAATGAATAACCGAGTGCACCAGAAAGAGTGCGTTTCCATTTCTGAACATAAAGTACACTCAAGGGCTAATGAATCTAAAAGAATTTAGTGAAACCGATGTCTACAAGAAATTATTCGCATCACTCTCCGAAAGAATCCTCTCACTTCCTTGTGTCAAATCGATTCGCCCACATTTCCGATATCCGACGTTAGAAGTAGGTAAAATGAAGTGAAAAATTCTATTTTTATATTTAATCAACTGTTTACTGTACTTTAGGTGTTTTCTCTTAATCAAATGGTTCTACATGGACTTCGGCATGAGAATCAGTGAGTAAAAGATCCGAAAATTAAATGTAAAAACTTGCTTCAATAAGAATATAAAAACAATTTGTATTTTGCATAGGGTAACTGAGTACAGTATCTTTTGAGGCCAATACTTTGCTTAAAAGTTTCTTTTAGATGGGATTCTGTGAAGAATTACACAAGTGCCTCCGATTTTGAGTGGATTGAGTTGGGAATGATTGCTGATATGCACAAAAGATATGATGGCTTTGAGTTGAGGTGAAAGAGTAGACATTGGCAAGATGTAAATGACATCAACATGCTCCTTTTTTCAGTTTTGGTCTCATTGCTCGTTATCGTCATCGATTATCGACGGATCTCTACGAATTGAGCGAATCGCCGAGAGTACATGAGAGAACGGCCATTTGCAATGCGCCGACAGTCGATGAGGTGATCTAATAAACGATACAAGTACCGTATTTTACTAGTAGACAGATCGATCACCGGCTAGATTTAAAAATAAAAAATGCCCTAAATCTCAACCATTTATCCACCAAACTACAAAAACGATTACAGATCTGTGAAATGTGTTACTACGACAACCTCGTATCGGCAAGAAACGAGCAACAAGTCATCTAATATTTCGTGCTTTTTCTATCAATTTCCCAAAGTCCTTCTACCAAATTCTTTCGCCGGTGCTCTCTCATAATTACGGGTATCATTATTGTGATCACCATTTTTCCGGATCTGAAAGTGGCAGCTAACTTTGTAATAAAGATTTCATGTTATTAATGTTAAAATCGCAGTTACATCTGATTATTTTTAAGGTCACATTCACATCTACAAGCCATTGCCACAAAAATTCCCAGTACTTCGCCTCAAAATTTTATCAAAGTTTCATCCGAGATGAGGAAATGAAGTGAGGCAGTAAAAATTCCAGGGAGATTGCCAGAGGCAAGCTAAACCCCGCCCCTTTCCGCCAGCCCCTTGCCAATGGCAAGCTAAACCCCGCCGCTTTCCGCCAACGCCTTGCCGATGGCAAGCCCCGCCCCTTTTTGGAAGCCCCTTATAAGCGGCGGTTTTTACTCATTTCTTCATCGTTCTTCTTTCAACGAAAAGATGGCTCGAACTAAGCAAACCGCCCGCAAAGCATCGAGTGGAGGAAAGGCTCCCCGCAAACAATTGGCCACCAAGGCTGCCCGCAAGTCAGCCCCAGCAACCGGAGGAGTCAAGAAGCCTCATCGCTACCGCCCAGGAACTGTCGCTCTCCGAGAAATCCGGCGCTACCAAAAGTCAACTGAGCTTCTCATCCGCAAGCTTCCATTCCAACGACTCGTCCGGGAAATCGCCCAGGATTTCAAGACTGACCTCCGCTTCCAATCGTCTGCTGTGATGGCCCTTCAAGAAGCTTCTGAATCCTACCTCGTCGGTCTCTTCGAAGACACCAATCTGTGTGCAATCCATGCCAAGCGAGTGACGATCATGCCGAAGGACATCCAACTTGCTCGTCGTATCCGTGGTGAGCGTGCGTAAGCGCTGAACGATAATTCAAACTAAACCCCAACCCAACGGCCCTCTTTAGGGCCACAAATCATTTGGGAAGGATAAAACTTTAAAGATCTAAACTAATTTTAAGCAAAGTTTGTTAATTGACCTAAACTTCGGTGACTTTCTCTATTCGTTTGTGATTATTCAAACCAAACAACTTTTTTCGGGGCCATGACAATACGGCACCGCCATTCGCGCACACGTGGAAAAACGTCTTTTACGCACAAAACAAATGGGTTCCCAATTTCTGTTTTTTGGAGTGAAGCTATCAAGCGGAAATTTTTACAGTAGATGGGCATAGTCGAGCGAAACATGCTGTAAAAATTTGGGGCCAATCGAAACGATGTAGGCCATTTGGTGCAACTTTTAGCGCTTGAAGTTGTGGGCGGGACGTGTGCAAAAGACGTTTTTTCACGTGTAAGCAAATCACAATTGTTGTATTGTCATGGTCCCAAAAAAGTTGTCTGGTTTGAATAATCACAAACGAATAGAGAATACCTGTTTCTCTCTAAGATACAGTACCTAGAATTTTAGTATGAATTTGTTATTGCTAATTCTGTTTTTGACTATGATATTGAAACTGACCACCAACCTCTTCTGAGGCTGATGAATTCGGTGTGACAAAGTTACTATCTCTAAAATTGTACAGTTAATCCTAGACTTTTTCTTATTCTTTGAGCTATGTAAAGGCATTCTCTCTGATGCACTAATCATTTCTATAAACGATTTGAGTGCGTCAGAAAAGATGTGTTTACAAGTTTTTGAGCATAAAGGAGTTTTCCGGAGTTTTCAATGAGTATGATGAAATTTGATGATTCGCATAGGTATAAAATTGTTGTAAAAATGAATCCAAATAACGTACGAGAGTAAAAAAAAGTTCCTTTTTAAAAGCAATACGAAAATTGTGCAGAAAATCGGCTTCATCACCCGATTTCATCGACCATTTTATTCGTTTCCGAAGGAGCGGAGGTGACGAGAATCTTCAGCCATTCCTTCGTTTCAGGTAAAGGATGATGTAAGTTAAATAAAGATTTAGATTGAATAAAGTTTATCTCTAGGATAATATCCGTAAAAGAATTGTTTTTCGCTTAGAAATCTCAATCTCTAGACGTCAACTGGACGATTTGCACCCGCTTTTGCGCTTTTGGCGATCCGTTGATGTCAAATCAAAACAAAATTTTATTCCATAGCAAGAGTATTCAATAGTAAGAGTGCATGGAATCGTAGCACAAATAGCTTTAAGAACATACTGTTGTTCAGTTGTATAACCCTGGAGTGAGATGTCAAGTCCCTTTCTCCATACAGATTCATCAGATGATTGTCCATCGGCGTAAGCATTGGAGAGAATCTTGTCAACCATCTTTGCAACTCGCTGAGCAGTGGATCGAGGCCAGGCAGAGCGAACTTCATTGCGGAATGTGGGATCATTAACGAAAATCCATTTCCATCGGTCGTGCCGAACACCCCGTCTGACAGAATCCCGCATTCCCTGTTTTCTAAGATTTAAGAAATTGAAAATTAAATAGAATTTAAATCTAAAGGCCTTAAATGTTAAACTAGAACAACTCAAATATCAAAACTTTCATAGCTTCTAGAAAGAAGCATGAGTTTAGTGGAACTTAGATTATAATATTTGAAAAGTTCAAAAATGTAATCAGAAAATAACAAACTCCTCAAGCCACTCGATAACACCTCTCGCACTTAGCATTGACTTGGATTCAAGGAGTTCATTGTTGGTACGTTTCTAGAATATTGGCATTTTATCAAGAATTTATGGTATTAAAGAACATACCAATTGCCTTTCTAGGCTTTCAGTCTTCGAAGCCATTACCCTACGCTCATCGTTCGCCTCTGCCGGCCTAACCTTCTTCAGACACTCCATCTCCCAATTGTCTCCATCACTAAAAAAAGATAGCATAATATGCAATAAATTATACTATTTAAATACCTTTCTTCGTCCGAACTGTCGTTTTTCTTCCTCTTGGACGACATATTGAAATTACCTAAAAATGATTAGCAATAAGAAAGGGAGCGAACACTAAAGTTAAAGTTACTATATATCAATGAAATGAATGGTAGAAATATCAGATTTAAGAGTAGTTAAGTCTAACTTCTATAAAATTCATCAAAGTAAAAGCTAGGGATAAAAATGAGGATTTGTTTAATATGAAGCCATTACGCCAAAACATAAAGTGCAGCTCGAAAAAAGTATCGACTACGCGACTGTACGGGGGCGGTGCCCTTCTATTAGAGTATTTACGGTAGTAATTTCTTTGGAACTAATCGCTCCACAATTATAGAACCAGCAAATATAAGTTCCCATAGAGTAACAGGTAGATCTAATAGAATCATTTAAAATTAGTAGATATTAACAGTTGCAATCTTCAAATTAGTAGGTTCAAAATTGGTTCAAAAGACAATCTTCAAACACGCAATTTGTATTCATCCGTATTGAAAGAAAGTTCAAACTCTTTAGATGGCATCATCTATTCAAAGTTGATCGGAACTCTTATCAAGATGGAGCCATTCAACATCGACAATATGATGGGCTGCCTTTTCAACATTTGAATTGCGAAAGTCAACATTTAACGATAAGATAAAATTAACACTTAAAATTTGCGACAGAAATTTAGATTTAACATGAAAACGTCTAGAAAAACACATTTTTCTCTCTGAAGGCCATTCTCTACTAGTTTTGAAAATAATTTGAAGCGATAAAGCCTGGGATTTCTTAATGAATTTGCTTTGGACTCAAAAATGTCCATGAAAATGATGATTGCTTGAACTAGTTTGTTCTACAGCTGAAATCTTTAGTCAAAAAGCTGATTATTACATGACTTTTCACTAGCAATAAATCATAAAAGAACTTTTTGAAATCTAGAAAAATTTAGCCATTCATCCAATAATTGTGGTCTGACCCTGGTTTGGCTTGGCTTAGACGTTGAGTTTCAGGCACTGTATCAGTGAAATCTTACTCAGTGAGATGAAATCAGTGAAATTTCTGGTGCGATTGACTGCGTCCCTGCGAGTGGGTGCAAAAAACAATCGGAAAATCGGAAAATTGTTGAATTCTCGTATTTCAGAGAAACGACGTACAGTGCGTCGATCTCTTCTGTTCTGTTAAACAATGGCAGCGAACTGTTGACCGACACTCACTCGAATACTTCACTGCGCACAATTTTTCAGGTACAATATGCTACAAAATTTGAATTTAAAGCTTCCTACCAGGAAACAATACTCAGAATTTCAGCTCTACTTTGAAGCTGTGGTCGAGATGATTCTCGAGGAGAGTGCATATCCAGTAAAACTCAGAAATATCTAGCTATAGCGTAACAACTTGTAGCGTAATACTTTGCAAGTAAACCCTTCAAAAGCCGTTCCAGTTCTCAAAATATCTCTACGATATGGCCGCCACATCGGGTTTCTGGTTGAAAATAAGCGAGCGCAAGATGCCGTAAAAAATTGGGCCCAATCGAGGCAATGTAGGCCATTTCCTCCAACTTTTAGCGCCTGAAGTTTCTGGGAGGGGCCTGTTTTGCGCAAATCTCGTTGCGGTATTGTCATAGTCCCGAAATTTTTACGCGCAATGACCCTCGAAGCATAAAAATGAATAAATGAACCAAAACGCTTGGTTTTGAACGAACGACAAGTTAGCGGGTTCTCCATTCTACGACACATGTTTGAGGAGCATCAGTTTGCGGCCCTTAAGAGGCCCGTTGGGTTGGATGCTATAGCTTGACGAGGTCATTTGCCTCTAATCAGTCTCATCGTCCTTGGACTGGACAGATTTGTGCTTTGGAAGGAATGGGACCACGCCTCCTTGCGGGAAGCCGACACCATGGAGTAGTTTATCCAGCTCCACGTCCAACTAGCATCAGACGTCGTGGGCTACTAGTGACCTTCTGGTTATCACGAGCTGCATTGCCGGCCAATTCGAGGATTTCCGCGACGAGATACTCCAGCACAGCGGCGAGGTAGATCCACCGATGCGCCGCGCCCTCCATATTGAATTCATCCGACCGGGAACACGATCCCGGCCCGAGCTGCCCTTGCTTCTTTCCCGACCCGCGCCGAGCCATTTTTTGTTGGCTGAAGATTTCGCTTCTCTTTGGTAACGAAGGAGACAAGGCTAAAGAAAAAAGGGGCGCGTTATATAGGGTCTGGTGTGAGGTGGCGGGGTTTAGCTTGGCAAATTCAACGTCTTTCAACGTCAATGGCAAATTCAACGTCTTTCTATTGTTTTTCTTTACAAACGTGACAAACCAATGAATCTGTAATCTGTAGAACTTTATTGCATCTCTTGTTTGTAATTTTTGTTCCTAATTTTACACAAATTGTCAAAACGAAGCAAATTTAACGAGCAAAATGTAGATGAAGAACATTAGGCCTTTGTTTGAAGCACAGCTGCAGATCTGAGAAAATTTGATTACTAAGGGGTGTCATTTGAGAATTTCTACCGTTTTCAGTTCGATTTCACTGCGAATGCGATTCGGTTCGAGTAAACGAATGAAATCGGTCACCGGGCATTCCGTTGAGCAATTCTTCAACCGCAGTATTTGTGGATCGCCAAGAGTGGCATTTCGGTAGAACATCTGAAAAATATTGCGTGTCTTGTCCTTTGTAAAAGTAAAAGAGAAGCTTTAGCTTCAAAATAAGGTCTTGAAAGCTGCAAGTCTAGTACACTATTATTTGGGATTCAGTATGCATCCTGTGACTATGCTTTACAATGCAATGTCATTCAGTTGAGTGGCAATGTCATTCAGTGGCTTGTTCAGCCTAGTTTTTTGTCGGTTCATCAATACTTCTACCACAATATTAACGCTCAAACAGCAGATTCAGGAATCTTTGATGAGAGCTGGTCAAGAAAGGCAAAAATAGCCGCTCCGTGGTTAAGTTTCTATGTGTTTCTTATTCTTATTGGATGCAAAATAAAATTATCTACATTTTGCATACTTTAAGAAAACATTAAAACAGAATTTGTGTCGAGAAAAGCTCAGTTGACCTCTTTTTTTAGTCCTTTTAGCCTTTTTTTTGCCATTTTCTCATCCCAGCTTTGTTCTAAACGACTCCAAAAGATTCAGCAGATAGGTAATTTTTTTCTACATCCAATGAAAATAGACACAAACACAAATAAACTTAACCGTAAATGCATTATTTTGGTTGGCGCTATTTGTACACGACGCTGTTTTGACCAGCTCCCCTCTTTATAGTGAATAACGAGCGCAATCAATAATCGAGCGAATAACGAGCGCAATCACAATCTAGCAATCAACCTTCTTCTAAAGCGTGGAACTTTTTCTTTCACACTTTAGAAAACAAAAGTTGTTTGCTAATGCAGAAAGTGTTGCCGAAGTCTTTAGTTTCTGGCGCGGTTTCCATTTCGTTTTTTCATCCACCTGCACATAAAGATCATTGGCCTCGTCGCGAACAACTTCCACAAAGAAACAGCCGGCGAATGGGACCAATTGATTGTCTGTCACCCCCATCGCGTGCATCAATGAGGCCACTGTGCCATCGTGCTAAATCAGTAGGTATTGTAAGTTGCACTTGGATTCTACTACGGCTAAACTATTGTAATTGTCAACTAACATCCCAAATCTGATTGTGAGTTCACATTTGAGTTTCTTTTCAATTTTAGTTTAGACTTTGATTGCTGTCTTGATTGCAATAATTGTCCTTCGGCCAAAAAACGACCGAGAAAACAAAGGTGGAATTTTCACATGTCTGCTCACTACCGTACTGTCTACTGTCTGTTTAACCGTCTGCAATAGTAGTACTGTAGCCTAACCAGTTCCAATACGGTTCCAATACGGTTCTTTTTTGGATCTAATACGGTTCCAATAAGGTTCCAATACGGTTCCAATACAATATTTGCCTGTTCACCAATATTTCTGCACTCCTTCTCTTCCTGAATCCCCTCACCGATGAATAAAGCACGGCTTTCGGCGTCTTCTTCCTCACTTCCACCTCTTCAATCCTTGTCAACCAATCATTCAACAAATACCTGAATTCACTTGTTTTCGATTCCTCATTTCTCCTACCCTCCGCGAAATCTCGCTTTCTTAAAACTATTGAAATCCTCCATCCTTGACAAGCGTTTCAATTCCCGAATCAAGTTCAGCACTTTTTCCCCTTCCCAACTTGTGTACACCCAATCGGGTTGCGGCAATGAATGCATAATCTGAACTCTTTCTAATCACAACATTTCTTCACTCCTCAACCTCTTTATCCACATCATACAACTTCTTGACATTCGCAAACGATACATTCATCCCAGTTTCCGCACTCAACCAATCGAAAAGCCCGCCATACTTTCTACAGAAGCTTTTTAGTTCTTTTAGTTCAATTTCTTTTGCCAAACTTGTCCATTCTCATTTCCAATCGATGAAAATCTCGTTTTCGAATCGCTTCATAGTTTGGGCAAAAGACACCAGTCGGTTTAAGAAGCTAGAAAGAAAATTTTTGATTGATTTTTCATATTTTCTTACCGGATCTTCTCTTCCTTTTCCATTTGTATGCATTGGAGTGGGTTGCCATTCAGTACTAGCATTCCACCTAAAAAAAAAAGCTTCAATATTGACTAACATCTAAAGAATAAAAATTAGGCTGATTTGACGTTCATAAAATCACTTCTAAAGCCACTAGAATACGCACAAGACTAACCAGACCCAATTTTTCAGGTATCCCAAGAATCAATAAACAAATTTAACGCAATTTCGCTAAAAATTTGCAATTCTACGTCTTTCCATTAAATTTGTATATCGATTTGCCGGGTAAAGATACTTTTAGAGCTTTTTTTACAACTCACACTCGATTCCCCTCAGCCGGAAAGAGCCCGGCCATCACCGCTTGCCCAGTCTCCATTGCTCGTTCCGAGTCCGACGATTGCACAAACACCTACCATAAAAACTCTATAAGTAGCCAATGGGCTTGTCATTTTTCAACCCTCCAAAATCGGCTAACCGAAAAAGTAGGTAAGGCCCAGATAAACCCAAAAACTCATTTTTTTTGCATAAAAACCACTTTACGTTATAGCCCTTGACCTAAAAGGCGCAAAAAAACGCATTTAAAAGTTAAATAATTTTCTTACCTTCTTAATTTTCAATTTTCTTACCCCGAAAAAATTCCCACATAAAATTTTTTCGAAAAATCATTTTTCAAAATAGTGTTCAAAATGTTCGGAATTTTACTGCCAACCCCAGATTGTTCATTTTTATGCTCAAATCTTTCGATAGAAAGATCACATTATGGATTAAAAGTCAATATTTCGCAAAACTCACCTCTTTCCTATTAAAATCTCTCGCGAATAGCTGTCCAGCATAACGTTTCCGAAGGAATGTGCCCAATTCGAAGCCTTGCGAAATGCCCAACTAAAAGAATCAATATTAACAAAAGAAACAAAATAGAATAAAGTAGAAAATCTGTAGATAAACTTTTTAAAAAAAAAAAGCACATTTGTGAGTTGTTCCCATCCGCGTGGCCACGCTTCCTCTCCATTTTTGTCATTCGGATAGGGAAGTCGCTCAGGAGCTCGATCTCCGTGTCTCCAAACGGCCAACAAAAGGACTAACTCTAGAAAAACATTGAGTTCGATTTTAAATTCAATCTAAACATCTAAACATCTCAAAATTGTTGATCCAAAAAGTTTAACCTGCACTGACTCCACTCAAAAATAGAGACGAAACAATAGATAAAAACATTTTCAGCGAATCATAGAAATCCTTTCAGTTCTAGTATTTTCTTCAAGAATCAAGGAATGAAAGAAAATGTTGGCGTTTCTCGGCGTCGAATTATCTGGTCGACTAGCTAATGTCGATGCAAATCAAGTCTGACCGCCCGAGCCCCAGCCCAGTAGACAAGTGAATCGAGTTACGACATTCACTCGCTGCGACACGAAAAACTTTCGACAAACGAGTGAAACGTGAATAGACTTTTGTCATCTGTGCTTTGTTTTATGATCCTAATTCTCTCTTCAAACGAGCACATGCCGCCCCGAAAATGTGCACATTTTGGAAAACGACAGAGTAATCCAACTCAAAAACCTTATCTTACCCAATCTGCTAGGCTTGATATTTTAAAAATTTTACGAATTTGGGGCCGGACGTCGTACGAAACTGAACGTAACAATTTTATTTTCAAAGTAACAATTAACCGTGACTGTAACCAAAAGCAACCCTAAGTGCGGCCGCCTGCTACTTAGAGGGATTGGATATTACGGCGGACAAGCGCCGAAGTTCCAATGTACTATAATTCAGCTAGTGTCGTCTTTGTTTCTGAAAATCTTAATGCATTTTGGATAATAAATATTTATTTCAATCTAAAATAAACCTTGAGTAGTAAATGATTTGAGGCTTTCAAAAATAAAAAAGAGGAAAAGTCCTAGAAAGAATTTGATCTAACCTAAAAAATAAGCGAGTTGATCAAAGAACAAGAATGCAGCTATACCGGAAACATGGCAATCAGCAATGGTTTCTTATTAGAAAAAGTATTAGACTAGAAATACTGGTTGCATTCTTGCTAAAAACAACGTTTCTCAAGTAGGGTGCCACCGCAAAGCGGGGAATATTCGGGATACATAAATCTAATGGGAACAAAAGAGTGACTCTTATTACAAATGAGATAGCAATTAACAAGAATTCAAAATCAGGTACCAAAGATGTCACAGGAGCTTAAGGCTTGAATCCTTCGAAATCTTTCTTGGTGGCATTGAAAGTTTGCGCGAAAAGTTCTTTCTGCTCTTGCAAGTGGGTGTATTTGTTGCCTAAACAAATAGCTTCGAAAAACATCATTGACTAGATAACAAACCAGTAGCTGGAGAAGCCGATGGGTGTCGTCCGGCATATTTAATTCCCCTTCCTTCTCTAGCAAGAAGCGAGTTGAACCTACAAAAATAAACAACATTCGATGCACTTATGTTTTAGCTTCTAAGAGGTTTACCGTGGTTGAATGAACGCCCAAGCACCCATATTTTTGTGTTCTTCCTGGGCCCAGTATAGTTCGGCTTGTGGGTATTTGCGGCACTCAGCCTAAATCCCAAATAAAATAAATAGCAAACAAACTTTTGCTTACTTGAATCAAATCATATGGGAAAGGAGCGATTTGTTCGACACGAATCAAGACCACATTGTTTTCTTTTCCAATGTGTTTGCGAGCATTAACCAAATCGTAGTAGACTTTGCCTAAAAAATTTTATTTGCCAAAATAAGCTTTTTAAAAACCTGTGCAGAAGACAATTCTTTGGACGTTAGCTGGATTCTGAGCAGCACTTCCAGTTTCAGAAATGACACGCTAAAAGTTCGTAGTTGTATTTGTACAGTTGGTGAATTTACCTGGAAGTGAGTCCCTGCTGCAAAATCTTCCATCGGCGATCTAGCCATAGGGTGGCGAAGCAACGATTTTGGCGACATCACAATAGCTGGCTTACGGAATGGCATTAGAACCTAAACACAAAAAATAGTTGAACGTTTACAGTCGTTTACTTGGCGCCTCAAAAGATGGTAGATGTTTGCTGGGTTGGTGCAGTTAGCAACGATCCAATTTGTGTCGTGGAGCTGCTGAGCTTCGAAAGTGGGTCCAAATGCAACTTTCTAAAAAATGGCCTTAAATAAAGCAATTTGAGAAAGGCTTACGTCCAAATCAATTTGATCATCTTCGTTACACATTTGAAGAAAACGTTCGGGGCGGGCCGACGAGTGTTCTGGTCCCATTCCTTCATAACCGTGTGGTAAGAGCATCACCAATCCAGATTGTCTAAAATGAAAACTATCAAATAACCGAGTTTAATATGTACCGAATCCATTTGCTCTGTCCACTGCTCACAAATTGATCGATGATACATTGCGCGGTGTTCGAGAAATCTCCGAATTGAGCCTCCCAGATGACCAATGAGTTTGGATCGACCTAAAGCAGATCTATAAAAGCAATGGATGCAATAGGGTTACCATTGAGTAGCCAAGTTCGAAACCAAGGACAGCGTATTCAGAGAGCGAGGAGTTGCACACAGTGTACTCAGCTTGTCCTTCACGAAGATCGTTCAACGGATTGTAGACCCTCTGGTCGACCTTTTGATCATGAAGCACGTGATGTCTAAAGATAGCATTACGAATAAGCAAGGAATTTTTTTACCTGTGCGAGAAGGTTCCGCGCTCCACATCTTGACCACTCAATCTAACATGAATACCCTAAGAACACTTTAACCAAAGAATCAAAGATCTCAATAATACCTCGATGAGGAGTGATCCAAAAGCAAGGGCCTCTCCAACCGCCCAATCAACCGAATTATCCTTCAGCATTTGTTGTCGTCCTTTCAAAGTACGTTCAAGACCTATATTTTTCCTTTAAAGTTTGTCACTTTCATATTGTGTTACCTTTGTGAAGATTAAATCCTTCAGGGTACGATGAGAATTTGTCAATGATCAAGTTCGAAACCTCGCTTTCAATTCCAGTTGAAGGCAGCTAAATAATTTTAAGAATTGAAACACTTTTGATATTTACCTTCAATGGATCCCTCTTCTTGAAGAAATCATCCCATGGCGAGTCCAACCAATCACGGTTTCTGACAAAGGTCACCTAAAGAAAGTTTAATTCAGAAATTATAAACCAAGCAACCTTTTGAGCGTTTTCATATGCATCCTCAAGAATTTGTCCGTACTTGGTTAATTCGTCCTAAACAATCACTTTGATTATGACAAATTAGATGCAAAACCTTGACATATTGCTCATCAGCGACGCTTTCTTTCAGAATTTTCTGTTGGTAGAGTTCCAAAACCTGAAACAGGGTCGTTGAAAACGAATAATGTTAATATCCCACCGGCTTATGTTTCTTGATCTTTTGATACATGAGAGGCTGGGTGAACATCGGCTCGTCCAACTCGTTGTGCCCGTATCTAAATGTAAAGCATATTTAATGTCATAAAAGAACACTCACTTTCGATAGCAGACCAAATCGATAATAACATCCTTCTTGAATGTCTTACGCCAATCAGAAGCTACGTTACACACGTGCATAACAGCCTAAATTTCAAAAAATAGTATAAACTCGTGACACAAACCTCTGGATCATCGGCATTAACGTGGAAGATCGGACATCCAACAACACGACCAACATCGGTACAATAAGGTGATGAACTAAATATAAATGGATTTACTTATTAGAAGGTGTAAAGTACGATGTGTCTGTTCACCGCAAATCTCGAGTCCTAAAGGAAACTTAATTTTGAATTTTCGAAGCTACAAAACTTTTTTGACGAAACGAAATGCAGATGTCTTATGTTTGCTTATGTTTTACTAATGATCGGCTTAAACAATTGTGTTTTGACGCTAGAGCTGTTAAAATGTTCGGTTAGAAGCAAGAGAATGAATGTCATTTCATATCAATGCAAACAAATACCGAGATGATCGAGGATCGGTGGTGAATCCAATTTGATTGTTGACTACAATGTGAATGCAGCCACTTGTTGTGTAAGATGGCAAATCGTCCAAGTTAAATGTCTCCAATACGACTCCTTGGCCTAAAGTACACCTATCAAGACAACTAGACTGTTTAAAGACCTGCAAAGGCGGCATCTCCGTGCAACATGATCGCCATTGCACGATCGCATTTGTGGTCCCCAGAGTAGAAGGCTTCGGCACGAACCTAAAACAAATTTGAATTATTTGGTATTTTAGCATTCTATCTCTTTGAATCCAATATTCAAGACTTACTTTGCCCAAAACAACAGGATCCACAGCCTCCAAGTGAGATGGATTTGCCACAACTGCGATCCTGAAAAAATGAGCGTTATTCCACAAGCAAAAGTATACACTTACTTGATATTCTTCTGAGATTGACGGTTGAGGCGCTCAATGCAAACTCCAAGATGGTATTTGACATCACCAGACCCTTAACAAATTAGTAAGAAAATCAATGACTTTGCTTTAAGATTTAGCTTCAAAACAAACCTTCATCAGCTGGTTCAAGAGTTGCAAATTGAGACAAGATGGTGGCAAGTGGTTGTCTGCAAACATTGGCGAGCACATTCAAACGACCTAAAATGTATTCATTAGTAAAGTTAATCTATATAATTCAAACCTCTATGTGGCATTCCAATGACGAATGAGTCGACGCCAAGAGAAGATGAAGAATCAATCACCTAAATTTTGAACCTTAAAAGGTCGCTAATTCCTTTTAACTTGTTTGATGGCCGGGATCAACACTTCGCAACCCTCGAGTCCGAATCGTTTCTCACTAGGCCATTTCTTCGCTAAGAACTCCTCGAATTTCGTTGATCGAATAAGCCGTTTGAAGAGAACCTAAAAGCAACATTTAGGTTTTTGCGTTATATTAACTAATCAACCTTTTTCTGATCTCGTGAAAGTTCAGTAACTCGTGGAGCTTCGAAACGACGTCGGATCCAGTCTTGTTGTTCGTAATTCGTCAAGTGCATATATTCTACACCAGTTCGGAGACAGTAAATGTCCTAAAGAAACTAAGTTATCATAAAAACATTCCTTAAAACCTTTAATCGGTCAATGATGTCCTTGAGTTTCATGCTCGTTTGCGATCCTCCAATGTAGGTTGAAGGCGGGAGCACAAAGTCTCTGAATGGAATTATGAAATAGTCAATAAACAAGTTTTCGCACCTTTCAAGATCGTTTTCATTCAACCCGTAGAAGGAAAGCTCCAATTCGGGTGGAACAGTATCGTCAAGGTCAGCGCTGTTAATTCCAAGTGGATCGAGGTCGGCAACATTGTGTCCACGCATCTAAAATTAATATTTTATCAAAACAAAAATATTCCCTAGCAGTGCAAATTTAACCCTTTTAATAAAGTGAGCAAATGTACCTGATAGGAACGGATCAAGAGTTGAATCTTCAAATGATCGGAGATTGATTGGACTGAAGCTCCGGCGGTTGAAAGCGCCGTAGAAGCTGCACCTGCCGATGGTTGAGTGATGCCGGTGAGCGTCAAGCCTCCAGTTGGTGGAGCCTAAAACCACAGTGAAACTATCAACTAGTAAATTTTACTTGGAAAGCTTGCCCAGGAGCCGCTCCTTGTTCAACATTGCGAAAATACGCATCCCACGACTAAATATATTTCCTTAAAAGTATTAAATAAAAAACTTACCTTATGAACCGAATTTGGGTCTTCTTGCCAAGCCGCGTACATTTGTTCAATGTAAACTGAAGTCGAGCCATTCATGAAAGATTCGTGTTTCACAGAAGCTGCCGCTGACTAAAAAATTAAAGTTTACTACCATTTACAAAGACAAAAATAAAACACAACGCGTACCTGAGCACGTGCTTGATGTTTCGTTGAAGATTCCGGCTTTGTCAATTGAGTTGCAGCAATTGTAGTTCGAGTTCTGAAACAAATATTTACAAAATAGCTTGCATACTTGTACAAATTGTTTTCAAAAATTAACCTCGCCATAGCAGCAGCTCGAGAAGGGCTCGCAAGCCGGCAAAGCATTCCCGCTCGGTGCATTTTGGCACCTTTTTACTCCAAGCTAAAATGTAAAAGATTAGAAACTTTAAAGGAACGTTAAAAAGCATGACAACTAAAATAACAAAAATAGACACGTTCCGTCAACGTATTTTACACCTAGCACTAAAAACGACAAAACCGAAATAAGTACGTAGCCGAAAAGGGACTGATTTCGTTTAGCCCTTCTGGTCGAATTTGAAAGCTAATGAGAGTGAAATGCAAATCAGAACCTTATTCTTAGGAAATCGAATCGAGGTTAAATGACGAAAAAATATGGGGAGTCCCTTTTTTCAACGCATGTGCTGCAAGGTTCTCTTTTTCTCTTCACCCTCCACCCGCTCGCCCTCATGAAAAGAAATCGATCGCTGGTCGAAAAAGTGGCCATGTGTGCAGAAAATGCGTCAAACACACAACCGATCCTCCCCTTCTCTTGGGCCATTCTCCGACAAAAGCCCAAGAACCCAACTCTTCCCGCACGTTTGAGTTGGTCAAGGAAATTGATTAGGGTTAAGTTTAACGGGGAATGGCTAAAGCCCTTATTTGCTAGACAGGATAGATCGAAACACGGTATTCGTCAAATCAAAAATAAACTTGCCCCTTCAAAACCGCAATTAGGTAGACAGAAAAATTAAGAAGCTCGAATATTTTCCCTAGCCAGAATTTCCAAATACACCAGTGTATTTATAGGAAATCGGGGAGAATCAATGTTTCGTCAGCGATCTTTCTCTTTTGACCCCCCTTGTTTTGCTGGTTTGGCGCGCGGCACTTCGCGAAAAAGGCAGTGTTTTGAGCGACACGATTTAAACATGTTTATATATAAAGTGTGTTGATTTTGATGAGAAGATGGCAAAACAAAAATCCTGATGAATCATTTGAAACACTTGATCATCAAAAACCTCATTCATAAAGCTGCCAAAGAAACTTTCAAAAAATTCGTGCTGATTAAATTTAAAAGATTCACCAAACGAATCAATAGAGGACCCTCAACTGCTTAGGTCATTGGGATCTCGAAAGTTTGAAAGCCGAAAGAAAACGGCAAAGACCAAGGAAGTTGAAAAGAGTGGCAGAAAGCGAGGGAAAACCAAGTGACGGTGAGTTCTCTGAGCAAAGAGAAACGATTACTCAGTCTTACAGCCACCGCTCGAAACAAGGGAAAGATAAGAATTGGATCGCTTTTATCACGTGATATTCAATAATTGGGCATTAACTACTTTCTCGAATTTTAACCACCCAAGTAAAACCTTCACGACCCAATTATACCATGAAAATCTCCCAACAAAAACATTCGTTCATGTTTTCAATCAATTCCCGATCCGTGTGCAGATGCGAAATCATTTATTAAAAAGCCGCGAGATAGGTTAGATTGAAAAACACAAAACACTTGTCGAGAGCGAGCGGCTGATAGAAAACGAAACATTAAACGAAATGAGTTAAATACACATGAACACAAAACATTTTCTCACAGTTGAATATAGAACACAAGAGTGTTAAAACTCGGAATCCACAAAAGAAAGCAAACTATTAATTAAGGTAGTGACACAATAATACAAGGTAAACGAGAAGTAAATTGGGCTATGATTAGACCGAGAATTCTTTTATTTCACTGAGTTGCTAGTGATCCTTGGCAAAGGGCAGCGAGTGCAACATTGAGATAGCCTGCATGAAATGCTCAGTGTTACCCTAAAAGAAACATTCTATTTTGTCATATCGGCTATTCTCTAATGACTTGATTATACCTGTGGAATTGGAGGTGATGCGCGAGTCGACGACATAGCTGCAATGAGTGGGCTTGCATAATCCACCGGTGAGAGAGGGGATTGCAAATCCAGCAATTGTCTAAAAGCAAAAATTCTGCTAATTAAGAACACAACCAAACCTGAGCATCACATTCGACTCCTGACGAGTGGTTGTTGGTTGAAAGAGCGCCATCATCGACATCAGTTGATTCTGGTGAAGAATGTCGTTGACTTTCTTTTTCTCCATAGACATCTTAGTTGGCTTATCGCGTGGAGTGAAGGCTAAGGCTTGAGGCGAGATGATTCCACCAGATGGCAAAACATGAGGACGTGGAGTTTCTAAAAGATACAGTCAGGTAATTCGGGTAAACGATCGTTCATATGCTAGAAGATTAACGACTTAAAATACGGTGCGAGCCTATAAACATCCACCTTTTTAATCTTTGATTCGCAAAAAAAACTCACGCAAAGCATTTTTCGTTGCTGCAGTTGGACGATAAGTTCCATTGATGATCGAAAGTTCAACAAGTTGCTTTCGCTTCAGTTCATCCTTACCCTCGGGCTAAAAAGTAAATTAATGGATTCACCATTAACAAACATACAGGGGGATGCAACAAAACGTTGATCTTCTCGATGGCATTTCTCATCTTCTCCTCGACAAGGCTCTCGATGTCCTCACATTGAACGATGATGTGCAGGGGCTCCTAAGCAAATGATATTAGTGCAAAGTAATCATTTGACCGCAACTCTTTACAAAAAAGGAACTTATGCTGCCGTAAACTGAATTCAAGAACGTACTGTTGGTCCATGATTTCCTCGACCCCTCACCATAATCTTGCAGCCAGTTTCCTCTTCGAGTTGTCTAGCAGTCATGCCACGTGGTCCTAAAAATATATTTATAAGACTGCTTGCAGGAAGAACTTTTAAAAGAAAAAAAAACAAAAACTTACCAAGGATGCGACCGACGAAGTTGTACTTTGGATATTTGTCGACGGGCACCATGATTTTCTCGACCAAAGTAACACGTCGCACCTCCTCCTTGTTCTTGCTGTTGTTGTTGTTGCCGTCTTGGCCACTCAGAATGCGAGCAATCTCTAAAACAAACAAGTAATGAAACAAATTAAAATCAACCTTACAGTTGATGGCACCATTCTTAAAGTTTCAATACAACTACGTACCTAACTTGTTTCTTTTTTGTACTTTCTACCTAAATGTATCTCAATACAACTCTCTAACCCTTTTTAATTCTTAAGACCAAAAACGATAATAACCACACCATCATTGATTAGCCGGGTCGTGTGTCTGAACTGGCCCTCGGGTTGCTTGAGACGAGTCTTTTCGTCGAGAAGCTCCACCAAGTAGGTGGGAAGTGTCGGCTCGTTTGTCGTGCTGGTGATGCAAGCAGTCGAGTCCCCATCGGCCAACTCTTTCTCGAGATGACTGCCGATGAGTGGTGCTGAAAAGCTACTCATCGCCTTGAAGTCGCCACCCGCATCCATCGGGATCAACATCTTGCTCGTCATTGTTAGAACCACAGTTGCTAGAATGAGAAACGTTAAACCAGGCGTAAACAAACCAAAAGAAGGAACAACAAAAATCTGGGGCACAAACGGGCTGGGGGCTTCGTTAGACTTAAACTTCACAAAACATGAGCAGTTTTCAACTTGCACCTTTGCAAAACAAGCTAGTTGTTCAAAACATCAAACGAAACTTAGGGTATACAAATCAAAGTTGGAAAGGGCACTATATATGTGGCCTACCGTAATACCTGTAATAGTAGCGCCTCCCTTCCCCTAATGATGTACAGTCACGTAGTCGCTGAAGCAAATAATTTTTTTGAATGCGCCTGGATTTTTCTAAAATAAACCGTTAGTATCAAAAAATTCTTCGCTTCAAGCGCCATCTTTCTTTTTTTCTAAGCGCACATTTTTCGTCGAAGCCGTGCGGAGAACCGAGCGTCACAAAATTGTGTGTTAGACTACGCGACTGTACGGGGAGGGGCGCTACTATTACTGATATTAGGGTAGTTATCATCGGCAAAAGGTGGAAATGGGCCAATTTTAGATGGCAATGTACAATCTCAACAAACAAATGGAATAGTAGCAAACTAGCGCGACAAAACTTTTCTCAAACTGAAATTTATCGCAACTTTGCCTTTTGTCCGACGATCTATTGTAGTTCTTGTCTGGGGTATGGTATTTAGTGCATTTTAGTGTGCAGCTAAGTGCCAAAATGTGCGAATTTCGTGTTGTACTTTTTTCATGCAATGCAAAGAACTTTTATTTTTGTAAACATTTTAGAACAAATGAAAAGAAAACCCGTACAGCAAGCCACGTTTGGTGCTTCAAAAGGTGAAAACGTTAAAGAAATCAACAAAATGTACAAACATGCTAGCATATAACGAATTCCTACGAAACACTCGATGAGATCGAACTAGTCGATGTTGAGTTGTAGTCGCACATGTCCCGAATCATGATCGAATGCTGAATATGGAAACTTATCTTCACTTTAGCAAGAGCTCCACCATTAGAAATATCGTTTACAATTATTCTCTAGCTATCTTTGCGTTGAATAAAATGGATATTTTTGCTTCAAATCAGCTTTACCACATTTACGAAGTCTTTTTTTGATGTTTTTGACCTCTGGATTAAAGTGTTTGCTGAATAAGCAAACGAAAAATGTTTGGTATTGTAGAAAAACCTCGGATTTCTAGTCCAGGAATCAAATTTCCAGTTTACTATTTGTCTGTTCAAGTCAAATGCAGCTCTTGCTTACTTTTTCGAATATCAAAATACAGTCTTGCACTTTTTGAATAGCTATAACTCAAGTATTGAATTTGAAAACTTAAAATGAAACCCCATTTCAATGAAAACTGATTCAAGTTTAAGCAATCGGAAAGCTTTTCACCTTTCCACTCTCATTTCCCTTCCTTTTCTTCCAGATCAATGAATGAAGATTTGAGAGAGTGCAAAGGAAAGATGGGACAATAACGAGACCATGTAATAGACCCAATGAGACAACCAGAAAGACAGTCTTCACGAATACCTGAAAATGAGATCACTTTGTTTGAGTTAAGGCTCACAAGGGAAGGTCACAAGGCTGAGATGGCCAAATGACCATACGACGCAGAATTTTATGCTGATTCCGATTCTGTTATCCGTTTTTGCAAAATGATTCGGAAATGTGAGGAATCTGGCAAACAAGTTTGAGGTCAAGAATCAGTCCCTGTTAACCTTTGACGACTTCTTACACCGCCTTGAAATATGAGCTTGTGGTGTAGTGGATAAGAGTCTTGTTTCCGAAACAAGCAATAAAGTCTTTGCGCTGGTTCGATCCCTTTCTTTTCTTTTCATTCTATTTTGATCTTTAACCGCAATTCGCTTTATTTTAACTTTACAATTGTCAGTTACTCACCTCTCCCATATAAGTCTTGATGCAAATCAAACAGAGAACGAATAAAACTGTCGATAGACCGCATTGAAGTAATGGAAAACCGATGGAAAGCAATGATCTGAGAAGTTTCATCTTTCTGTCATTAGAAATTTGAAGTCATTAGGCCAGGATATCTTTTCAGAGGCAATTTGGAAGCGCACCATTTCTGGCACACTCAATCTTTGAGCTTTTACTTTGAAATAAATTGAGTGCACCAGAAAGGATGCGTTTACCCTTTTTAAACACAAAATATATATCATAGAGCTTCTAAACGAACTTTCAGGGATACTCGTGCTTTGATTGATTGATTTTTTTTGTTGATTCAACTTAAGATTTTGCTAGAACTATACTCAATGGCCTCGATTCTATAGCTTTGAGCCTAATCTTCACTTAATGGCCAATCCATGGACTTAAAAATAAAATATTTTCTGTTTTCTACAAGGATTTAGATTTCAAAACGAAATTCTCAAGATTTAAAACAAACCTTGCAATCCTCTCAGCCGGTTTAGAATCCGGATGTTCTAAACCCTCACGGTGGAAATGGAAAGCAATATGTGCTGGGAAATCAACGGAGAATCCAATGGACCTTGAAAATGAGGAAATTACATATCTAATGATTCTATAGCCTTGAGCCTAATCTTTATTATACTCACATGATCAAACACGACATCGAAATCGGGTCCAAATTCACATTCCAAAGAGCTAGAAAGCCGAAAACACCTAATTTTGAGGAATGAAAAGAATTTGTGAGCAATAATACCTAGACAAATTGATATGATTGAGAGGGTGGCGATGATGATTGTGAAGAGAGAATTCATGAAGAGAAAACAAATGACTAGCATTGTGATCAAAGTGACCAGTGAAGAGCTTAGAGTTGCCGGCACCATTGAATCAGTCTAGAGCATGATATACAAATCGAATAGGAAACAAGTTTGGCTTGGTGGATATAACGAAAAATCAATTTTTCTGCACAAATTAGGAAACAGAACTTGTTTCCCCAGCAGATTATATTAGAGTAAGCTCCTCCCTTTTCTAAAAGGCATCTATTTCAAAGCCGACAGTCAACTTTAAACAACACTAAAATCACCTGATCTACGAAAGCGCAGAAATCATCGAAGATGCTTGCGTTCAGCGCCGGGAAACTGTCGACAACCTTTCGCCATCTTTCAAGCAGCTCTTTTCGAACCTAGAACAATCAAATATTCTTCTTTATCCTCTACTCTCATTACTTCAGTACAATATTTTCATTTGGATACGACCTTTCTATTCTATTCATGGTAAGACAATACAAGTTTCTTTTGCAATTTCATTCATCATTTTTGAGATTTCCTACCATTTCCAACCATTCTTACTCATTAATCAACAAATTTTCTACTAACTCACATTAAATTCTCCCAGCTTCTCACCGTGAAAAGAAACAGTTGCCATGAAGCGATCCAATCTGAATTCTCATCTTTCTAAAATTTCTCAACTAAACCAAACCTATCCTCATCATTAAATTTGATGAAACCAGTCCAATGTCTGAACTCAGGCCATTCCAGGAATCCCTTCATCGCTTCTCTCGTAGAACGGATCTTTCACCATCAAATTCCCCTCAAACTCCTCTTCTCCCAAGAATTCCTCGTTAGCACTTTCCTAAAGTTTTCTTATCTTTAAAACAAGCTTCCCTCATGGTCGACTGGCTAAGAGACCTGTATCTTAGACAGAAGGGCAACGGTTCAATCCGGGGCAGACTATTAGTACTTTCTTTTCCATATATATTGCTCTTTTCTTTCTATAGAGCTTAGGGGTTGTGGTTGTGTATTGTTTGACCACATTATTAGTGAATAAATGTATGTTTTTAAAAAGTATTTTTTTACTTGGAAATATCCGATAATCTCTCATCCAATAATGTGTTGTTTCCGGGCCGATCGCCTCAGGAAATGACTCGAATGTTGAGATCAAGTTATCAGCCATTTGTAAACGATCCGGTGATGAGAGGTTGCCAGCCTGAAAATACTGCACTTTCGCAAACGCAAGTCATCTGGCATAATCTGGCATTTTTTAAAAAGCAGTAAACACAAAGTATGAGTCTAAATTTTTATCCAATTCACTTACTCGATTCACCAAAACGATGACCGTCGTGTAGTTTGGGAGCACCCATTGTTCTCGGAGGTTTTCTATCTGAAATGATTTGTATTGGTTTAACAATTGCATTGAAATGAGAATCTATTAGGGTGGTGCAAAAGAAGCTGCCGATTTGACGGTAAATTAAAAAAAAAAGATGGCGTTCGATGGTGACATGATCGCAATGGAATATTTTCGCAAGATCTCGAGCAGATTGGCATGGATCGGCCTGAATAACGTCCCTCAGCTTGGCTTCGTTCACGACTTCTGGCCTCGAACCGTGCTCGTAATCTTCCAAAGCCTCGTCTCCCTCTCGGAATCGTTGAAACCAAGTCTGCCTGAGAGACAAACTGCCATCTCCGAAAGCAGCACAGAGAGAACGATGCGATTCGGCAGCAGACAGCAGCAGACGGCAGCATACAGCAGCAAACGGCAGCAGACAGCAGCAGACGGCAGCAGACGGTAGCAGAGGGTAGCAGACGGTAGCAGACGGTAGCAGACTTTCCAATTTTGAAGTTAAACAGTAATGCTGCTCGTAGCACAAACTTTTGCTCGAACATGATCTAAATAAAAAATATAAGCATTTTAAAATAAAATAAACAACAACCAAAAAATTCAAATGTCGAAATAAATACCAAAAAATATGCGAACAAAAAATAAAAACTAATGCCGTTAGCATCGCTCATTTCTGATAAATGAGAGCTAATACCCATCGGCAGTTTCTTTTTGCACACACCCTAATAGCTTTTGCACCACCTAACAACTGAATCCAAACCAACCGCGATCAACTCGGATCCATCGATGACTAAACTTTTCGATGACAAAATCACCGACATCTGTAGCGCTCCTTTAGCCGTCACGTACCTAAACAAAGAATAGGATTAGATTATCAAAAAATTGTTGACATAACGATTCTATTCAAGTTTAGACTAAAATTAAGATTTAGGAAAAATCTCGACTTTCCAAACTTTTC